ACCAACATTCACAATGGGTTGTGAATCTTGGCCGGTCCTCGATGGCGTCGTTGGCCCGCCTTTGCTACAGGCGCTAAAGGTATTGGTATATTCCGCAGAAACGTCTTAGCTGCGGCGGACGTTTTCGAAGGAACTTTGTGTTCCAACAGGGAAGCACCATCCGTTTGCACGTCCATAGTGTTGCAGGCAGAAACCAGTCGGCTGGATGATTTGACTGCTTGACCCGAGAATCGAATGAAATAGTTTCCAGTATCCTATTTCGCTTTCTGCGTTTCCTCAAGCCCCCCTGATCGATTGAATACTGCAGGAACAAGATGTTCTGGTCCGCAACTTGCCTTTCGAGAAGGGCGGCGAGGAACTAGCTGGTCCCCCCGTCCTGTTGTTCGGACGTCGCTGGAGAGCCCGCTCTGGGGTTCGAGGAACAAATGCTTTTGTTCCGACACTTACCTTTAGGTTGCGCGACGAGTCGACTCGCCGCCCATCTCTAAAGGTGTCTCTTGAAACAGAGGCGTTTCGCTTCTTGAAGCCCCCCAGAGTGGGCTCTGCATCGACGTCCTGTCAACAGGGCGGGGGAGCACGAGTACGAGACACAAGAGGAGCAGCCGGTGCAGTCAGAAGTAATAAGGCCTTTCATACAGCAGGTGACCGCTTCTCGATACATTCTGCAGTGCGGTTAATGCCCCTGGGTGCTGTCCACACGACTACATAATCACAAGAAAGCGACCGATAAACACCAAACCGGGATTTCAAATATACTGCAACCCTAGAGCGGGGTCTGCAGCGACCTCCTAGCATCAGGACGTGGGAACACGAGTACGTGACGCCAACAGGAGCAGCCTCGACGAACAACAACTATCACTCGCACATCATTGAGAGGCCGTTTTGGGCGACCACAACGTACGCCAGCATGACTCTCCCATAGCGGAGGGCTAGCTCGATGACTTCCTTGCCGTCCATCCCAACAGGACGTTTCTGACAAGCACCGCTCGTCCCGCCATGCGCGAGCAACACACAGCAAGACGCAATCATTATTGCCGAAGCGAAGGGCTAGGTCGATGAGTTCCTTGTTACCAATCTCGAACGGACTGTTGTGACCAGTACCGCTTGTAGGTCTAAAGCGGGGTCTGTAAGAACAGGACGGGGGTACACGAGTACGTGATGCCAGCAGGAGCCCCCCCTCCAGCCAGAAGCGAAAAGAGCATCAAAAGAGTACGTGGTGATGCGGTCTGCGGTATTGCTAAGGGTGCACTTGGGTCCTGTTGACACAAAAACGTCACACGAAAACGACCGGAAGCCCAAACAAGTCCTGGGACTGTCCAAGATGGCTTGGGAAACTGACCTCATTTGTTCGAACGCAACGCTCCTTTGAATAGTTCCGCCCCGCGAACAGAATGCATGTATAACACACCATAACATACGACCTCTTGGATCGCAACGGGGCGACGAGCCGGCCAGAATTCGAATCGGGTACCCAGCGGAATGGGGTTTCCTCGACGCAGCGTGCCAAAGGCGTCGTCATCAGTGAAATGCGAAAGCCGCAGGCGAGGATTTCGACCGACTTCGCCCTGGGGGTTGGCGGGGAAGCGCAGCGTGGAGGAGGCTGAGAAGGCAAGGACGGTGGAGGGGCTCCCGGGGGTTGCCGTACGCACGTTTGCTTAGAATACCTTCGCGATATTCAAGGAGCACCGGTTCCCACTGACTCGTTCACTGAACTGCTGAACACGAAGATTATCGCCAAGAGCATAAGCAGCATCGCCAGCAGTAGCACAAACACCACCACCGATATTGCAACGCAGGACACACAAGCCACTTTGCAATAACGTCTTCTCTGTGCCGAAATTCGCACGAACGAGTGCCTCCCACTTGGAACGATGGTGTCGAATTTACCCTAAGTACATTATGAAAATCTTCGGATCGGCGTCCAGCCCGCCGAGGTGCGCGAATTGGTGCTGGACCTGCCGTCGGCCGGCAGAAAGCGGAAACGGAATTGCCTGCGCGAGTCTTTCGCGCACCTCTTCTACGGCGGCAGACTCGACACAAGTACGTGCAACGCCGAGAAGGTGAAAAACAGTGGTGGAAGACCGTCAGATGCACGTGATCTTGAAGGGTGAGAGGCGAGAAAGGATAGCTTCGTCCAGAACAAGAACCCTACCGTATTCCTCGCGTGTGCGTGGAAACGACAGCATTGGAAAACAGTGGGGGTATGGGGGAATAGGGCGGTGACGGGGCAGCCACATTGCGTAATGTGTAGAACTACCTGACCGTCGTCAATGCCAGCCCATTTCACCCGCCTTACATAGGGCGACCGCCTTATTCAGACCGGTTATTCGGGGATCCCACTGTACGTGTAAAAACCACTCAGCGCCCGACCATGGCGTGACAGAAGCGCAAAACTGTTTTCTATAACTTTCTGGTGTAGACATCGACGTAGAAATCAAGTCGACGCCAATGAGGACATGGGACACTTCAACCATGCAACAGCACCATTCGAACCGGGACGATGCCATGAGGCAACAAGAGATGAGCACTCCAGCCGATCCCGAGCAAAAAATACATGGTGACCCTCGCTTCTGAACTCCTCCGCATCTCGGATTATTCTGTCCCTCCCTTCTTCCGATTTCTGCTGCTGTTGGTTGTTTCTGCGAACCTTGCGTCATGTGTTGCTTCGGTTAGACCCCTCCACTACGGTCTAAACCCATTGCGAGGTGGTTGTGAAAAGCCTGCAGCAGGCCTCTCACAATCACCTAGCAACGGGTGCTCTTGTTGGTTTTCCAAACAGCCGCAGTGGATGAGTCGAGGAAAATCAAAACAGGGCTAAAGAACGCAATCCAACCACGGACACAGAGGGGCGCGGAGCAAGAAGGAGATACCGAAAAAAATGTCCAATGGCTCAACGCATAGATTTGAGTAGAGCAGTACCACAGTTGTCCGGTTCTCACCGAATCCGTTTCTTCCCATACCCCAAGCTGAGCGACCCAGCGCGAAACTGTGCTCCTTCAACAACACGAAGGTGCTTGTCAAAAAAAAAGCGAACTTAACGGCAACCCCGTATTAGCTGCCCCACCTGGTCTTCTCAAACCCCTGCACGCGTCCATCTGGCCATGCCTGGGAACACGTTATGTTGCATCGTTCGGATTTCACGACTCACCACGTCTGTAGCACACTCCGTCGACAAACGACACGTCTCTTCCCGGCAACCCTGGGCGAAGTCGCTGGACAGCGTCGGCGGTAGCAGGCGCATGTCGCCAATCGTAGTTTCTCGTCGCCGCGTAGCGTGCGAGAGACGCGACGATAGGCGGTATGCGCATGCTACCGCCGAGGTTGTCTAGCGACTTCGCCAATGGGGTTGGCGGGAAGCGAAGCGCGGAGGACGTCGAGAAGACAAGAGGGCGAAGGGGCTCACAGGGTGTGCCGAACGTACGCTTGTTTGTATACCTTCGTGTTAATTCAAGGCGCACCGTTTCCCAATGAGTCGCTCACCGAACTGCGGAACTCGAACAATGATTGAGAAGAGCGTAAGCAGCAAACACAGCACCAGCAGCACCACCAACACCGCTCGCTACGGGCATGGCAACCCAGGACACAAAACCGACATGCGATAACGCGTTCGTTGGGGTCGATATGCGCACCCACGAGTGCTTCCGACTTGTAGCGTTGCGGTCGATCATATTGGAACAAACACGGGTGCATCACATGTTCGCCCTCGTGGGCCCCCACCCCTTAGCTTGCCGCCAACTGCAAGCCTGCGGCATCGCCGGAACTCCAGATGCGTCGGCGGTTCACGATAGACGCCAACAAACCGATAGTCAGTGCACGCATCAACAGTGACAAGGTTGACGAAAACAACACGGCAGTGAAAACACAACGCCAGGTAAACTGATCGATAACAATAGCGCGGAACACAAGTCCAGCCCACCTGGCGATCGCTTAGACCGTCGTTGACCCCTTGTAGTGGTTGATAGGCTGCACATTCACCGGGAGGTGGAACATACCACCGTTGAATATGCAGGCGCTTTTTGCAACGTTCTCCTTTGGAATCTCGTACATGTGGCTGTCGACGTCGTGGAACGGAAATAGCCCGTTGGTAGCACGCCGGCGACAAATCAGAAGAGGGCATGCGGCAGGGGGCGGGAAACGATGGTTGGGGTTACGGATAACCTCGCCAAAAAATGATAGTCCCGCCTCCACTCGGTACCTTCCGAACTGAATGATCTGATGGTACGGGCAGGCTTGGCTTTGATTTACAGGCAGGCGCTATATTGCAACGGTTGAAAGTCACGTCAAATACTTCGAAATTATCTGAAGCAAGCCAGAAGTAAAATGAAATCCACAAAGCAGGCCGAAGCAGGTGATCTAGAGCTTGTGCCAGAAGTCTGGGACATATGTTACCATCACGGGCAGATTTTCCACTCCTGCGCAGTGAGTGCTACTGTAGGATCCCTCCAAACATGATTTCCGCATAGAGTGCCGTCCTCGAGCTCAATTCCGTGGGCAGGAGTGGACACTCTTCACCAACATTTCGTTGCACGGGAGAACCATCCCGTCCTCAGCCTTACACACAAGCGCTGGGTCATTCTCGCCCATCTCTTCCCCCCAACAGTCTGATACAGCTACGTAGTAGGGGTCTTGTTGGGCTTCTTGCAGTAGTCCAGAGTACACGTACATGTAGCGTGTCTCCAAGCAATTACGTCTTGGCGAAGAAAGGGACAGTCAGCGTGCGACGGCCCCGTTTGTTGTTATCCAACCGGCGGAAGGACACGGGGCTCCGACAGACGAACACTAGCAGAGGGGACAGCGCAGGGGGGAAGCCACGGAGGGTGGGACGGGGGCAGGGGTGGACGCTCACCCCCACTTCCCGGAAGCGACGTCGAGGCCTACCGAGAAGGAAATCAGGGCCGATGTCCTCTATTTCCAGCTCTTACTGTTTCCGACCACTCGTGAACCCAGGGTGGAGTACATGAGGCTCGAGTCAACCCGAGTGGTGCTAATAGAGTTATGCCTTATTGCGGGGTTGAATAATGTAGCTACTTGTGGACAGGCTCTCACGTTGGCCGCTTACCGCACGCTAGTTGGAATGGTCCAGAACCACAGGGAGAAGGGAGAAGGAGGCAGACTTGAATGCACCTGGAGCGCAGAGAGGAGAGCAAGAACGTAGAATGGGGGCGCGCGGAATACCCTTGAGGTCGTAGGTTGGTTGTTTGGTTGAATTTGCAGGGTGATTGGTTGACTGATAAAGATATCCTATTGAGCTTTTCATACGGCTCGGTTTGGCTCTGTCCAGACATTTGTCTATTCGAGATGCACGGGATTTTACCTGGTACGAGACGTGCATCGTACACCCGCGTGGATGTGCATCGCATGTCGTGATCGCACAGGTGCATACTAATGTACAGGAACCCCGGTATGCTGTCTTGCTTTGTCGAAAAGGAGACTCATCTCGCCATGACAGCCCTTGGCGCCAAAGACACACCACCGCTCTTTGCGTCGAGCCATCCGCACCCCCTCCTCTCCCCTTCTCCGGGTGCGTTTCGACTGGTGGCCCGTTTTGAATCGTGGCCGGTCCTCCGGGGTGTTGTCCGCCGCGACGGTGTATATCAAATAGCTTGAGCGCCTTT